TTTTTTTTTTCGCGATGATGAGATTAAGCATCCAGGGGGGCTTCGACTTTCCCCCCATAGTTTTGAAATTTCTGAAAAGTTCTGGATTTTTAGACTGGATGAGTGGGAAACTCTGGTCATAACAGGGCTGATTTTCTTTTCTTCTAATAATGCCCTGTACTGAAAATAGTCTTCAACATCTGAGAAAAATCCCACGTGTGCCTAAAACAGCATAGGTAAAATTGAGACCTTTTATTCCTCCATTTTTTACGCATCTGAAAATGTGCTACATCCCGCGCGGAACAGGGACAACCCATGTTTAAATTCCCAAGCTTCTCATGAAACTCGTGCTAAGAATTCATAGCATGATTATTTTCATGGAGCATAATTTTTATTAATTAGCAGATGTGCTTAAGCACCCCTGCCGTTTAAGCCAATATTTACGACGGTATTATGGCTGTATAACAGGAGAAACAGAAAAAAGGAAAAATTCAAGCGTAAATTGGAAAAACGACACGGTAGCTCATTATTTTTCAGGAAATCAGACTGAAATGCTCGAAAACTTTCGCAGGTGAATTTATTCCTGGTCCGTAAAAAAAACTAGTGCCTCATCCCCTTCAGTCGAAGGCGCTAAGGAACAAGAAATCTAATACGTAATATGCATGAGGTGGTGATATGTTCAATTTTTTCAAGTACGTCAACCCAGGTGAGCACCTTTCTTGGAATTTCAATGGGCAGAGACAAGCGGTAAATGTGGCCGATCGCCCCTTAAATTCTGAATCTCATCCACATTTTAATTCACTCAAATATTCTTTGGGTCATGTTTTCTCATTTACTTGGTGAAACTTTTGTGAAAGGTAATATATACAGGTGACCAGGTTTAGCAAACAGATAGGATCAAAAATTTGGATGGGTGGGTGTATGCATATGTGTTGGATGTCTAGTTTTATTTTGCAGTGTGTGTTCTCTCTTTTGTTTTTGTCATTGGTTTGTCCTTTGTTTCATGCTTTGAAGTGATTGAATGTCTTTGGGGGAGTTGGGTTGGGTGGGGAGGGGGTTTGGATGCCGGAGTCTTGGTTGTGCCTTGTGAACGCTGAAAAGCGGCAAATAAAGTGTTAGGTTCATTCATTCATTCATCCACA